CGGTTTTAGTTTTCTATTTTGTCTGTTTCAAAATTATTTTTCAGTCTCAAATATATCTTTTCAGTTTCAATTTTTTTAACAAAACTTTTGACCTCAATTTACCTCCATACAACCACAGCAGATTTCACAGAGCTAAGACTCATTTTTGTGTTTTTGATGTGACATTATCAGGTTGACTCCAAAGTTTAACCAGTTAAATCTGTCAGGAGTTTAATGAGATATTTTATTCTCAGCAGGTAAAAAGCACGAAGCTGAAGTTCTGGTCGGAGTTCAAGAGGCGGGTGGAGGCTGTGAGAACTTCCTGTTTAGTAAAACCTCTGTGATATAATTTACCTTCCCCTGGTTCCTGAAAACCAGAAGTTCCCTGACAACGAGWGTGCGCGTGCGCGCACGCGTGTGTGTGGTTAAACGCTGGCGTTACCTGCGCTCATCAGCACGTTGTGGGCCGTCGGGTGCCAGCTGAGGATGCCGACTCGTTTAGAGTGCCCCTCCAGTTTGACGACGGGTTCTGTCAGCGGCGAGGTCAGCCCCCCCTCTGGGATCTCCCAGATCTGTTGGTCAAAAACCAACCTGGCGCTCAGAAACGACACGTCCTGTTCTGAAGGAAGGACTGAGGAGAACCTGCGGTCTTACCATGACGCTGCAGTCCTCTGAACCACTGGCAATGATGTTGTCGTTGTGAGGACAGAACTCTATGTCCAGGACCGGACCTGTGTGTCCACACACAGTGGGGTAGGACATGTCTATACGTCCGGTCTGCAGACAGAAACATTACAGACGACAAACAAACATTTTTACTTTACAGAGTTCAGGAGGTCGGAACAAGTAAAGATAAAAAATATATAAAACGAAAGAAAACTTCTAACSTGAAACTTTCCAAGTTTTAACCTGGTGAGTATCAGATACATACCTGGTATGTGGACACACAAGTACAAGTACATACCTGACAAGTATCTGGTATGTACCAGTTACACACCTTGTACTTAACAGGTAAGTACTAGGTACATACTAGGTAAGTATCAGATACATACCTGGCAAGTATCATGTAAGTACTAGGTATGTATCTTGCAAGTACCAGTTACACACCTGGAACTTAACAGTAAAGTACTAGTTACATACTAAGTATCAGATACATACGTGGCAAGTATCATGTAAGTACTAGGTATGTGTCTAGTAAGTACCAGTTACACACCTTGGATTTAACCGGTAAGTACTAAGTATGTATCTGGTATATTAGTAAGTACGTACACTGTATTAATCAAGTAAAAATAATATTTGTACCCTGTAAGTACCCTGTAAACATTAGGCATGTATTTAGTATGAAACATGTACCTACATGGTACTTAACATATAAGTACTAAGTACAAACTAGGTAAGTATCAGATACATATTTGGCAAGTATCATGTAAGTACTAGGTATGTGTCTAGTAAGTACCAGTTACACACCTTGTACTTAACAGATAAGTACTACGTACATACTAAGTAAGTATCAGATACATACCTGGCAAGTATCATGTAAGTACTAGTTATGTATCTTGCAAGTACCAGTTACACACCTGGAACTTAACAGTAAAGTACTAGTTACATACTAAGTATCAGATACATACTTGGCAAGTATCATGTAAGTACTAGGTATGTATCTGGTATATACCAGTTACACACCTCATTCTTAACAGGTAAGTACTAGGTTTATACTAGGTATCAGATACATACCTGGCAAGTATCATGCAAGTACTAGGTATGTGTCTAGTAAGTACCAGTTACACACCTTGTATTTAACCGGTAAGTACTAAGTATGTATCTAGTATATACCAGGTAAAACCTGGTATATTGGAAAGTACGTACACTGTACTAATCAGGTAAAAATAATATTTGTACCCTGTAAGTACCCTGTAAATATTAGGTATGTATTTAGTATGAAACATGTACCTACGTGGTACTTAACATATAAGTACAAACCAGGTAAGTATCAGATACATACTTGGCAAGTATCATGTAAGTACTAGGTATGTATCTGGTAAGTACCAGTTACACACCTTGTATTTAACCGGTAAGTACTAAGTATGTATCTAGTATATACCAGGTAAAACCTGGTATATTGGTAAGTACGTACACTGTACTAATCA